TTTTAAACAAGACGACTAACTGAAACTACATTTTACGTTTGTTTCACCAACTTTTTAAAATCCCATGTTTGATTGTGCCACACTGCTGCAAACCAAATTGCCCTTTGTGGACATTAAAGATAAACTTCTAAAACTGTAGTTATAGTGAAAATGTCCTTCGTTTCCATCTCTGACAATTCATTGCCTGTATGGCGTTTACTTGAAAAGTATTTCTTTTGTATTACTGTACGGCCAACAAAAGAAAGAACGTTTAAACAATTATTTGGGAATTGTACTTGATGTAATTCCACAATATTTAGTGACCTTTTGTATCTTGCGCTCAACAAATACTCAAAAAATAATAATAAAACTAGCCCCGACACGAATAAAAATATGAAATTGAAACAAAAGCATTTTTTGGAAAAAATAAAAATTAATCAAAATGAACAAACCTGCTCTAAAAAAAATAAAATGGCAGATGTCAAAACAAAATAAAACCTAACTCTGATGACAAATCATATCTATTTCCATCCCGCTTCATACACAACACGTGATACACTGATCAACTAGTGTAGTGGAGCCCAATTGTGACGTCACAATTTGTCCAACTTTGGAACGGCTTGCTCTCAATTTCAGGCAGCTAACAAAATTTACTTCATTGTTTAATTTTAGACTACATGTATACTGCAACAACAAAAATCTTTTTTTTTTTAAATTTGTCGTTTCTCATTTTCTTACCTTGGCTTTGCCCTGGAAGTTGAAGGTGAGGACGTACTCGCCGGGCCGCGTCTCACTTTGGCGGATCACAAACAGCCCGTGGCTCCTGGCTCCGCCCGCCAGCACCCACCGAGCCGCAAACGGGATTTTGGTCATCATGATCATGCTTCAATATTGACTCTCTCACTGTATCATTTTTTGTGGCCCGCTAAAAAAATAAGTGTTGACCTCTAAATCAGTGTGTTGGTCTCAAAATTGCAAATGATCTTTCACTTTTAATAACTTGAGATATTGCTCGCATTTTTGGACAATTTACAGAACATTTTCAATTTGGCAAACTGTTGCCGTCACCATACTAGGATGTGAAAATTATGGCCCAACCAGGCAAGAGCTTTGGCTCTTCCAATCACCACTAGTTCATCTCAACTTTCATCACATTGTAGTCAACTACAAAACCGGACTTATTTTGGTGGCTAACATGCTAACATAAATTTGTAATGCTCCTCACCAATCTTCCCTATCACACAAACTTGACCAATTACCCATTAAAATCGAATTCAGTCCCATGGCCCGTTTTTGTTCATTTTGTACTTTAATCGTTTTTTCGTTTCCTTTTCAAAATAACCTGCCTCTTTTTCTTTCAAGATTTGCAAAAATCAGTTGAAAATGTTAAGAAATGAACGGTATACAGAATCATGAAGAAGTGTAGAAATGATTGCCTGTTGGAGCGTTGGAGCCCTGGGCCTCTGGGGACTGCAGGAAGCGCTCTAAAGGCATGTGGGATGGATGCTGGGTGAAGGGGGGTTCCCTGCAACGCACTGAGGGAGCACTGTAATGCTCTGCCGCTGCGGCGCATAACCTCTCCGGAGCTCGGTACACACCTAAACAAGTCAGTTTCCATCCGTTACGAGACATCCGTATTTACGTGCCGATGTGAACGTGACGATGCTGCCGCGGGGGCTCACCCTCAGAAAGCAGCTCGCAGCTGCAGGAGGTCACCATGGAGCAGTCTTTGGATGAAGCCTGACCGTGGGGACACGACGCCAGCTCAATGTCGTCGCCGCTGTCCCTGCAAACGAGGACGCGGGGTGACCACCAGAGAATGTAAACAAACAGCACCGTGTCCAAACACACGTCCTACAAATAAAGTCCCTGTTGACGTCCAGACCAACAAGAAGGAATGTCAGTCATTGCTGTGCGTGTGTGAGTTTGTCCATGTTTGTGTAAAGGGAGCCTGTCAAAACGTCCGCTAATTGGATGATTAATGGCTGTGTGTGTTTCTGCCCTCCTTCTGTGCCCCCCACCCCCTCCTCTTTTTGCTTGCTTGCTTCCTTCCACAGCAAATATTTATGTGAAGGTTTACCCGGGGTCTATGCAGTCCTGGATGTCAGCAACCCAGGAGTTTTTCTGCAGCGAGTCGATAGTTTCCAGGATATATTCTCCTCCGTTCTCCACCTACAGAGCCCAAAAAGCGACAAAAAACAAAAAGGTCCTGTGAAAAACGTGCATGTCCATTTTTCTAAAATTGTGTTAATGGGGTGTTTGCATTTCCGACATTTCATGAACAAAAACATTTTTGAAATGACAAAAAATGGGCCTACCGTGTGTGTTTTTCACAAGACTGCGACACTACACTCAAACACAATCGAACAAGAGCGTTCAACGGGCATTTGTGACAAAATGGAATAAAAACACACCAACTGAAAAACAGATGTGGAGATGACACCAAAAAAAAAAAAAAAGCATTGGCCAAAAAGGAAAATCTGTGTCATGTCACAGGCGGTGAGCATTGAACACATTGAACAGTTGAGGAACTTTAGGAAATCAGTTGTAAAATCCATATCTGTGCTCAAATATCCATATTTCTGACGACGGTATGTCGCGGCGCGGGTTGCTCAGTTCTTACCTTTAAGACAAACGTATTGTCTTTGTCAGGCATCTCCAGGGGCATGGTGGTCCTCACCTCCACAATGGCTGCCAGAGGGATGCTCACCTTCGCTTTTGAAGACTGAACATGTCAAAGAGAAATGACTTGAAATCATGAGGTTAAACATTAGAAGCTAACTTAAGCACAAGGTACTTAGTCCAGAGTTATTTGGACAATAGCAGAGTAGGTATTGTGAAATAAAACAAACATATGAAAGGTCAAGGTTTTTGGAGGGGGGGTTCAATTCGGGTGTTTTGAAAATAAATAAAATAAATAACATGAAGGAATTAAAGCCATTTTATGCAGCCCGCTTCCATTGACAGAAATGGGTCTCTTCCGTTTAAGAAACCAACATTTTTAAGTCGAAACACATGTCTCATTAAACTACAGTCCTATTTACAGGAAACAGTTTCGATGACAAACACTCGCCAGCCATTAATAAAAAACATCAGTAAGTGTGGCAGTAACTGAGTGCACCTTCATGTGTCACGTGACGACCCAATCCAATCCAAAAACAGGTCATTGCTTGCTGTTTGGAAACGCAAAACATCATATGCTGAGGTCGTCCAACACCAAGGACCCTTCTAGTCATAGAACAGAAATTCATGTGAAATACACATTTGAATTTCCTGAAGCTGCGTTAGCTATGGGTATGAAGAACTCATGTTGTGACCACCACCATCTCCTGACCAAGTGAGAACCTCGGATTATCTTCAAATGGAAGATCTATGAGGGCAATGTACAGGTTTTTTTTTTTTTTTTAATAGTTACATATATTATCTATTTTCAGATTCGTATCCAGTGTTTGCATATCCCAGCGGCTCGTGAAATAAGTATAGTTTCTGTGCTACAATATAAAGCTTCCTAATTAGTAGTTTAATTTTGTCTAGCCATACGAGTACCCCCAAAAAAAGACCACCGCTCATGCAATTACGGAGGGTCCGAGGTGAAAATAACTCTTTTACATTAAAACACCATACTTAGCGTGAAAACAGATATTCACACATAACCATTACACAACATGTGTCTGGTTGTATGGCTAGCAAGCTTCCTCATCCATGACAATTAAGGGCCTAAATGAGTCATGCAGCGAGAGCCACAACCCTCGCCCCCAGTCTGCGAAGCGCTCAAACGTAGCGCGGAGAGGGCCAATTTTTCACGCCATCAGCGGACTGTAGCCAACGCACAAACAGGAAGAGTTTACGCCATGTGATCAAAGCAAAGAGTCTGCCGCCCCCCACCCCCCATTTGCCCTCTGCCAAGGATAAACTGAACACATCCAAAAGGGCGCGCTTCTATGTGTGGAGACTGATGGTCTGGTTGAGGCTTATCAGCTGATCTGTCTGGAGTAACAGCGTTCTCATCTTGATCTCGGCCGCCGTCCGCACCCACAATTCCTGTCTGAGGATCACATTTCAAGAGAACACTTCTCCAATGCGCCGCTTCCAGGAAGCTTATGTCGGGCAGAGCTAGCAAAGCCCCATCTAGCCTAGCAAGCTAGCTGGCACCACACTGATGTGCAATGGTGACGATTAACTCGGCAGCTTTATCCGGATTCTTCCTTTAGGCTATGTAATAGACATGTTCATGGCTCTTAGCTGTTTTACGGTGTCAAAATAACTGCCCTGCATTTTTCAAAAGAAGTCGGGTTTACTAGCTTCAAGCAATTTTTTTTTTTTTGCCACTCGATATGACCTTGTGGAGTCATGTTATGAAGAGTCCTTTGTCATGGTGATTCCTTGAAGCGATCATCAAACTTTGACCTCAACGCGGTACCCAACATAGATGACAGAGGCTAAAATCTTTCGCAATTTCGCCTTGTTCACCTGTTTGGCGTACTTGCTTTCAATTTGGGTCCACGTTTAGTGAATTCCCTCCAAGTGTTTGTTAAAATACGAGCTCTGGAATCTTTCTAAAATGGCCACTTCAACCCAAAATTGCTGACTTCCTGTTTGTATGTGGGAATGGTTTCTTGAGTTTTTTTGTGCCGCTTGTTCGTTTGCAGGAAAATAGCTAATTCAATTTGGATGGAAATCCAGATCAATGATTTTTTTTTTTGTACATAGTCACATTTAATTGCAAGGTTTTTTTTTTTGCAGAAGAAAATATGACTCTTCCTGATACAGTCTGTAGGAGGTGGGTATTCACGGCTGGGGTGTAATTTGGTTGCTGAACTAAATTGGGATTAGCCTTGGCAAAGGTCTGCACTTTCGAATGCACTGAAATAGAACATAATCAACATACCAGAGTGTGTTCTTTACTTCCATACCAAATTCATGTGGAATGGTATCGCAGTGGAATATTCAACTTCCACACGTGGTCCATAGTTTACCACAGTACTGACATACAGTATAACGTTTTGAGGTCAAGAACACCGTCCAACGAAGGTGTTTATCCAGCAACGTAAGAATATGTCATCACGCAGCACAAAAGGGCTTGTTCACACTTACTGATAATGCGTTAGTGTAGGATAGATGAAACTGTGGCACTTTCCGTTTCAGGTTATGTCATCGCGACCGTGGGAACAGAACTCCATCGCAAACCGAGTAGTAAGTAGCAAATGTCTCAGGCCACCACAAGCTTTGTTGTTCTAATGTTGTTTCAATCACAACAATCGGTAAGTAGTCAGACACGTTCATGAAGGAGGATTACACAAAATTGACAGAATCCATTTCCGGGGAAAGAAGCCTTTTGATTTTGGTGAGAATATGGATATAGGAATCTAATTTTAACTCTTTGAGTTGCCTTGGCAACAACCGAACAGTCCACCCGATTTAATCATAATGGCAGCACCTGTCCCTAAACCAGAAAGTAGCACGCTATCCATCCATTTTCTACAGTGCCCGTTCTTATTTGTGTCATGGGTGAACTGGGATCTATCCCAGCTGTCTTGAACAAGAGCTGGGGTACAACCTTGACTGGTCAATTGAACGCCACCTTGAGACAAACAGCCATTCACACTTACATTTAGAGTCTTCAATGAGCCCTAGCATAGCATGTTTTAGGAATTTAGGAGGAAACCAAAGTAGCAAGGGGAAAACACACACAAGCTCATGAAAAAAAAAATGAAGATAGGGAAAAGAACTATTTCTATACAACGTATCCTGTTCAGGTTCGCAGGGACCTGCAACCTATCCCCTCTGAGTTCAGGAGAAAGCCGGAAACAAATGCTGGACTGGTCGCAGTTCATCAGAGTGCATAGGGAGAGAGACTACAATTCATACTCTCATTCACATTGTCACTGTGTGGGAGTTGAGCCCACGCTGACTGCAGCATTAATGACTGCAGCTTAGCTAACAGGACACGGAACAACATTATGAGTCAAGACAATACATCTAACTTTTGCACAGTACGATCAACTACATGAAGTGTATTCATTTCCACATCAATTCATGCATCCATTTTGTATAGTGCTTGTCCGCGTTATTTTGTGGGGGCAGTCCCCCCCCCCCCCCCCCCCCCCCTTATTTTGCATCTATATTTTAGTCAATAGTTCAAAGTTACTGTTTCTCCCGATGGGATAGCAGTGGATGTGTGGTCAGAGGGTCTCTGCTGTGTCATCATGCAGCAGCCAGGAAGGAGACTGCGCTGGTCACTTTAATCATCCGACACCGCTGAGTATGCACTCCGGTGATGTGAACAAGACAGCGAAGATAAAGCTTCTCCTCCTGTGTGGAAGTGCTTCTTTTACATGTCGACGTTAATAGAAAACAGTATGTGAAAGTGCTTGGGCACAATGATTTCATGTTCCTTCTTCCAGTGACTCATGCAACTATTTTGGTCCTTCCCTGTGCTGTCATCGCGTGCCAAAGATGAGGAAGCGATCAGGTCGGATTTTCTGCAACAGCAGTTTTGAAGTTTTGAATGTGCTAACGGAGGTCAATGAGACAGTTTCGCACTTTCCACCTGCGCACCCTGCCCCGGTTCCCAACCCCCGATCAGCTCCATTTTCCCACGGTCCTCTTCCAACCGCTTGTGGTACCTTCACCCCACGTTCCCAGCCGTGGAAGATTTACACATCCTCAAGCTGCACTGCACCTTAAGAAGGTCACGGGCAATGACGTAGGAACAGTTGTTCCGATATTATTCTTGTTGATGTTTTATGCTATGTGTTCTGTTGTATCATTGTTATTTTATGTTCAATGTTCTGTAAAGCTCTTTCAGACAGATAGATAGATAGATAGATAGATAGATAGATAGATAGATAGATAGATAGATAGATAGATAGATAGATAGATAGATAGATAGATAGATGGCAATGACTGTAGCATACCTTGGGCGGGACGTAGAACTCAAGCAGGAACCTGTCAGCGCCTTCGTCCCTCTTGCTCTTCCTTAAGAGCAGGCGGCACTTCTGCCACTGTGCAGCGCCCATGCAGTTGGTGTCATCGGCCACCATGTACCGAAGCGCCCCTTCCCTCTGGATCTCGAGCATCTCGGCCTTGTGGCCCTGGCAGCCTCTTGGTAGTCGTAGCTTTTGAGACCACTTCTCTCCCCCTACTGCTGCCGTGATCTCCCCTCCAGCAGCTCCACTGCCGTTCGACTTTCTGGCCGTGGAGGGACCGTCAGGCTCTGGGGAAGCACGGCGATGCCACATCTCCTTGACCCCGTCCACCACGCACAGGCTCATGTTCCTCAGCGAGAAGCCCTTCTTGAAGCGCGCTTTGGGGTGGCTCACTGACACGTCTTCCGAACTGCGGGACTGACCCAGGGCGGACACCTTGTGCGCGGGCTGCGGTCCGGGGGCGCCGGCCGTAGCGCCGCCTCCTCCGCGTTCAATGCCGCCCCCTCCGCTGTCCATGCTGTCCAGGGATTCGCTGGAAGCGCCGGCGTCCTTGCGTCTCTGGTAGAGCTCGTGGCTATAGGACAAAGGGCAGCCTTGGATCCCCAGGAAAGGAACGATGCTGTACTTGGGTGCGACGTTGAAGCCGTCCTCCCCCAGGGAGGATGCCTGGTTCTCCCGTGCCTGGCTCAAAGCCGCCGAGAAGCACTCCAAAAAGTGTTGGGTAAAGTGTTGAGAGAAGCTGGCGTCGGCGCCTGGCGAATCGTAGCACGGGTTCTCTGACAGAAAGCGCTGGAACTTGTCGGCGAAGTCTGCGGCGGAGGCTCGCGCGTGGAGTTCGCAGAACTCTCGCCAGTCAGGCAGTGGGCATGAGGAGGAGAGCTCCGGGCTACCGGGCACCGAGGCTCCGTTCATCACTGGGCCATGCCAACCCACTGAGGAGAGGCTGGAGAGGAGAAGCACAATGGGATGAGGTTGTACTCTGTGAAAAGTCAACACGGGGTTTTTTTTGTTTTGTTTTTTTTTTTCCCCCAAATTGGGAAAAACTGCATTGTATTGAAGCAACACGGGAGATACAAATAACGAGACACATTCAGACACTCAGTCGTACCTCAACCAAGGCTAAGCAATCCTTATTTGGATGAGTTTTAAACTTTCTCATACTGTACGGTAGATACTTACAGATACAAAGAGTGTTAGTAACTTCTGCATTGGATTTTGACGATAAGACTGTTGCAATTTTTTTTTCCCAGCTTCACGTTTTTTGGGATGTGCACCTTTATTGGAACGTACAGCAGAATTTTATAAACTTTTTTTATTTTTATTTTTTAAACCACTGTTCCATCCCTGCAGTTTCATGGAAATGGCTTGACTATTTTAAGTAATGATTGAAAACAAGATTGAAAAATATGATATTTTAGAGGGTAAACACACAAAAAAAAAATCTGTTGAGGTGTTGCTGGCACATCCCACCGGGAAGAGGCTTTGGGGGATGACCCAAGACATGCTGGGGAGACTGTCTCCCGGCTGGCCTGGCATTGCCTTGAAATTCCTCCGGAAGAGCTGGATGAAGTGGTTGGGGAGAGGGAGCCTGGACTTCCATGCTAAAGCTGCTGGACCCACGACCGGACGCCAGATAAGCGGAAGAATATGAATGGATGAAGGTAAACAGAAAATGTAACAGATTTTTACTCTGTTCATTCGTGGCAAGTGGCTAACGCATATGGTCAACCTTAAAATGAAGTCTAACTCCGTGTTTGGTATTTGTCTTGATGGCAAATTCCTGTCTTACACCGTCCGGAATCATCAACTAATGTCCAATTTCATACTGGATCTAATTCACAACGGTGCTGTTTTGAATCTTTGCTGCATGTCATCCCATCCTCCCTTCATTTCCTGTTATTGTTCTGCCATTGCCGTTTAATAAGATCAAATGGGGAGACGGAAACACGAGGAAATGCCGTGATCAAAAGGGAAATGGCGGGCGTCTGGCACGGCCGTGAGCTTGCCCAGCGCGACTTTAGTGACAAGCGATCGGATTATGGCGACGGTCTGCTCGAGGGTTCTATCGGAGCACTTTGAAGGACTCTTGGTGGCCCATCCATCTCACTCACTGTTGTCTGGCTAGCTAATGAGCATGTTTGCTAACCACTGTACAATAGTGCTGCTCAAAGTAAAGTTCATTACACAGTTTATCTTCTGTAATCGCATAACGGCAGTGAAATTGCACGAAAATTTGGACTGGAAATCTAATTGAAACAGCAGCTCTACACAAAAGGTTTAAAGAAGCCAAATGTCACTGACTTTTTAAGGCTACATCAATGAAAATGAAGTCGTCTCATTGTCGGTGGCGATTTCTGCTATGTGCAAAAAGTGCGGCCACACAGGTCGGCATTTTTATTGGCATCATGACATGTAAACCTTGGACATCTGAATTGTAAATGTGCGCACCCTTATGGAGGCATCAGGACTGTTCAAGAATTTTGCTAATAAACGAAATGAGAGATTTTTAGTTTCAAGGAAGTCGTCAAAGGGGCTTTCGCACATGGCCGCCAGTGAGGCGGTATGGGCTCAAAATGATGACATATTTTACCCTATTTTGCACACTTTGAATGGTGGATTCAAGGATTATGATAAATGTTGGAATTGCTGCACAAATTCAGACTAGATCCTACTACATTGCCATGAGAACAGACTCCACAGTGTAATTTCAAGACACACATGCTAGCTTCCAACACACGAGTGATAGGGACACATCTGCAGAGAAGCACTGGGCTGTAACACACATGTTGATCCCATTATTTATTTCTGTGAAGCGCAAACATAAAAGGATATCGAGACGGAAGTGGGCAGTCAAGGCGACACACACCCACGCGCGCCCACAAACACAAAGAGATGGCAAACATTCCACACGTGGTAAAAGGCTTTTCATACAGCATACGACACACACGTGCTGACATTCACAGAATTTCCTGGGAAAGCAGCTTGATGGTTAATCCATCTTTTTGTCAACAATTCGCGTGGACTTGCCTCCATTGGAATGAAGGATAACATACTTTTTCACTATCAGTGAGAGAAAGACGAAATAAATGAGCTAAAACGGTGACATTTACATTTACCTTGGAATGGACAAAAAAATGATTCGCTGTGATTATTTCTTTTTGAGCCACCCCCCACTCCTTAAATTTGGTGACAGAAAGTAGTCTAGACCTTAGACCATTTAGGAGCAGGTCTAAGTTGTGGCGCAGGTGGCGTAACATGATTTGTGTGAATTTCATCGAGGCATAGGCAGACAGATTCTGCGCTCTGCTGATATGTGTGGTGAATGTCATCGTATTTCATTCATAAATATGACAACAGTGTGTTTCGAACATTTTGGATCATTGTAGAAACAATTCATTGGGTGCATTATTATTATCAGGATCTTTGGGGTCAAAGTGGAAGGATCAGGTTGAAAGGCGCTATTCTGTCTGTGATTGCCCGAGCCAACTTTACATCATCCACCCCTAGGTCTGCTTGCAGTTCCTTATAAACATACCCTCCACACTTTGATTCTCTGGATGGACTCCGGCGAGCCTATTTCTGGAGACAGGAAGTATTGTTCACATCCACAATGGCACAAACGCCCCTTTCTACCTGTGTCCGCCTATGAAAATACTACAAGAAGGAAAACTGACTGCTCTTTGCGCTAGATTTGCGCTGGACACGGAAATAGGCTCCTAAAGGTGTTGATCATTCTTAAGATTTGCATTATTAGCATTATTAATCATGTCTTGATGCAAGGGAGGCAAAATGGGGTGCACGACGTGGCCGCAACTCATTTTCAAATTTGCTCTTGGAAGAGAAAATGTATGTGATCACAGAGAATAAAATATGTACTCGTTATAACAAACAGTTGTTGGCAATCGCCAATCTAAACGAATTCTGAAACAAGATAAACACTTGCGTGGCTCAGGAGACATTGTCGAACTTGGCAATGGTTCTTATCTGTTTGATTGCAAATTCATTTAGCCATTAGCTGCATATCAGGGCATCATACAGGAAGACTTTACTAGAAAGTGGTGAGAAACGAATCAATCCACTTAAAGGTCCTGTCTACATTCATGCATCCATCACATCGTCTACACTCATTCAGTTTTGTGTGTGAGTGTGTGTGTGTGTGTGTGCGTGTGTGTGCGCGCACAACAGGTCAATACCTATTCAGCTAAGAACCTACAGTGGGCCAACTTTCCACTCATTCAGCAAAATAACAACAATTGAGGTACATTTGTCAAGTTGCGCCCCCCCACACACACACACACACAGGCTCCCAGAGTCAGCATGAAACACAAGCCGTGGGACAGGAAGAAGTGGACAGCTCTGTCTCAGCGCACTTTGGCTGTATGCTACATTTATGATTGACAGACAAGAGAATGATCTGTGAATGAAAGAAGCAGCCAGAGGACGGCGGAGAGGGAGGCCTGCCTGTTTTGGCTGCAGCTGCTAAAACAATCGAGCAAATGTGTGTGTGTGTGTGTGTGTGTGTGTGTGGAGGTGGAATAAAACACGAAGGACTGAAGGGAGCGGAGGCATCCCCCCCTCGGCTTTCAACCTCAGAGCCACTGGACCCTTTCCTCCTTCTGCTAGCTCCTCCCAATCTGTTGTTAAGATCTACCACCACTGTGTCTCCTCTGCCTCCCCCATCCACACCTCCCCTGAGGGTGAGGTGGGCCTGATATCTCCGTCAGATGCTTGGGATTACTGCGTGCAAGAGTAAACTGAGCAGGGAAGAAAGGATAAGAAAATGTAGCCTGGAAAATCCTCTTCTTCTTCGTGTATCTGAGGCAGGCCTTCAAGAGTGACATACAGTATGCTGAATGAACGCTGACGTGTCTGGCAAAAAAATAATAAGAAGCACAGTTCATTCTAGTTGAAGTAGATTATGAAACTGTCTTTCATCGTAAATCATGACGGAATAAAGTTCAGTCTGTCTCTTCGTTTATTAATTGAACTGAAATTAATAGTTAAACTGATTGGTGCCTTTATCTCAGACAGCTAGGGAGTCATGGTTCATTTGCCTTTATTTTAGCATAAGCTTAACCTATACGGGTGTCTAGCAAAAAAAATCATAAGAAGCACAGTTCATTCTAGTTGAAGTAGATCATGAAACTGTCTTTCAAAGTAAATCATGACGGAATAAAGTTCAGTCTGTCTCTTCGTTTATTAATTGAACCGAAATTAATAGTTAAACTGATTGGCGCCTTTATCTCGGACAGCTAGTGAGTCATGGTTCATTTGCCTTTATTTTAGCATAAGCCTAACCTATACGACCAAAATATTGCTGTATCATACATCTATTTTTTGTTTTTTGCAATACTGATAAATTTATAGCTTGTCTGATCAAACAATGAGCGATCAGCAGCAATTTACATTTCCTGTAACAACTCCACGCTTGGTTGCTTTTTCGTTCTAACACATTCATCCATTCACAAGCTTTCACAACTAACGTTGACATACTCAACACATAGACTTAACTGACAGTTTAGCTGAGCCAGCCAACTCTCCACACCACATCCCTCACCAGGCCAGGACAGGCCATGCATTTTTAAGTCATACACTCAAAGCCACAGATACTACAGAAAGAAAAAAAAAAATACAGATTTGAATAGAATGCGAGATAGCGACCCCAAATGGACAAAAATAATATCTGAACCTCACATGTACTTGACTGCGTTTAGTAATGGAAAATCAATCAGATTAATCAATGGGGTAATGGGCAGAACACTCGCTTCCAAAAATATTTCCATCCATCCATCCATTTTCTGATCTGCTTTATCCTCAAAATTTATTACAGTATATCCTTTTTGGAATGTGGGAGGAAACCGGAGTACCCGGAGAAAACTCACGCAGGCCCGGGGAGAACATGCAAACTGCACATAGGGAGCCCAGAGCTGGAATCGAACGCGGTACCTCTGCACTGTGAGGTCAACGCACTAACCACTCGACACAGGGCCGCCCTAAAAATATTTTTAAAAGAATTTCAAAAGTTGAAGAGATTGGTTTTAATATTTTCACAAAATATTTTTGTAGAGTCCGGCTCCACACATTTTTTTTTCCAAAAACACACACACACACACACACACACACACACACACACATACAAAAATTACACACACACACACACACACACACACACACATCCCCCCCGCGAGCTGCTTCATGCCAGCAGCACGCTGGCCGTGATCGGTTAATGAGCATGATTGGTCATGTCGTGCGCTCACCCCAGGGGGTTTGGGTCCGGCCATGTTTTCTAAGATTAGCCTACACTGTGCATATGCGCATGCACTCACACACACACAAACACAGCTTGCAGCACAGACAGTACAGTAGACGGAGACACGCACCTTCACTCTGAACTCATTAAGGATATTTTCTTATATAAGATGTAAAGAGGGCTCCGGAGTGAGGACGTTTGAGGACAAAACAGCTGCCGTGTCCCACACACAAACTCCAACAGTCACAGTAAAACAACGAATTGATTGGATCAATATGACAGTAATGATTCGATTAGTAAGGATTGTTGCAGTGTGCCAGCATGCAGCTTTGACAATGGCTGGAGACAAAAATTATGACTGAGGAGGACGTTGACGATGTCGGATCAGGAGCAGCAGGACGAAAAACAGAAGTTGGGGGTCATCATTAATAGCTCCTCACTCCACCTTCCTGCCGCTGACCTTTGAACTGACCGTTGATGGCCTCCCCAGTGCAACTGGCTAGGAGGTTTTGGCATGAACAGTCGACACGAGACCGGCACATCTTTTTTTTTTTTTTTCATGTCACTATTTTGTAAAGCACTGACATGAAACGGGGGCACAAAGTCAACCTTGCAGTTTCCCACCGACAGAAGTAGTATCAAGCCTGTTTTACAGTACCTGTCAGTGTTGCAATTCTGTATCAGCGGCACAAACAAAGAATGGAGGCAGAAGGGCAGCCTGGTACATTTCTGCATTCGGTGGTTTATCTCACTGTTCTGTAAAAACGGCACTCACATGACATGGGCCGGTTGGGGTCAATCCAGCAATTTTACACCGCAAGATGTAGTACCAAGTCCCCCTGTACTTTGCTGGTATATAATCTGGAAGTTTTCAGCCTTTTTTCAATGTCGCTCTTCTGTATAAATGGCACTGAAACGGAATGGCACAAAGTCGACTTGGTAATTATCAACTGTCAATGGAAACACTTTTACAGTACCGGTACTTGTAAAACCTGCTCTTTTTTCCCCATGTTGCTGTTCTGTATAAGCAATATGACATCGAATGGGCGAATGACATCAACCCAGCAGTTTTCCGCTTTCAGAGGTAGTACCGAGCCCCGTTTACATTTCTGGTATCATCTGGCAGTTTTTCTTACCTTTCCAATATCAGTCTTCTGGTTAAAGTGTACTGACACATAATGGCACAAAGTCGACTTGGTATTTAACCGCCAGCAGAGGTAGTATCAAGCCACTTTTACACTGACGGGAAAAGCGGCCCTTTCCCACCTTTTTCACCATATAATTGTTCTGGATAAATGGCCATGGCACAGAAATGTGAGGGCAAAGTCAACTTTCCATCTTCTGAGGCTATATCAAGGTACTTTCATACTACCTATAAAAAGTGTTTTTTGTTTCCCTTGTTCATGCCACTGCTTTTCATAAACGTCAATGACACGCGACTGTGATACAAACCCAGCAAATCTCTGCGGGCTCAGACCATGTCCGAGCCACACAAGGTTCCCCAATGCTGACATCTGAGCACACGGCACCGAAATGAGCCCGTCCTCCACCGGCGGATGCCGTCACGTAACGCAAATAGAGAACAAACTGAGGCATCCATATGGCAGCCAGCGATAAAAGGATGGAGAACAAAACGTGTAGGAGACACACATTCCACCGCTGACTTCCATTTCCTGTCACTCACCCACCAGTCTAACTAATTTCGCAGATGAGCGTAGGCCTCCAAATACAGTATGAGCGTGACACCTCCACTCCAGTAGTTATTTGATGGAAGAGTTACGCAGGCGGAACCTTATACACTCAACGGACATGACATTAGATACACCGGCACAATCATACGTCAAAAAAATATTCCGTTTTTATTGACACGTTCAGAAAGACATCTATTTAATGTCATGTTTTTTTAAAGGGGGTTTGTATCTTCTTATCAGCAGTGTTAATTCACTGCACTGAAATGAAATGACTGGAAATGTCATTATTGTGGAGGAAAATTGCCTGGTTGACTTCAGTGTTTGTGTGCAAAATGGTAACTTTTACAGGCAGGGTAACAGGGGCTTTGGGTCTCACCATTTCTTTGCATTTGAGGAAAAGACAGCAGAGGCCTCACTTGATTCAGCAATGTTGCTGTTTTGTCTTTCTTTACATTGTTCAGTTGAATAGAGCAAGTCAAGGGAATCCGTAGCTGCACTTGATGGCAAATGACATGTATGTTGTGAAAAAAATGCCCCAGTCAAGACCCTTTTCACTACTTTTTGAGGAGTACATGATTACTAGGGGGTGTTACGGTAAATTCAATCATATTTTGATTTTACAGAGTTCCAACATGGATGACGTAAGGGACAGGAAGTGAAACCGCCTTGTGCACCAGCCAAAGGTTCCTTCTGTCCACAAATACATTGCAGTTCAGCTGACTTGTGGATATCGTGGCTCGTGATGTGCTTTTGGCACTACGTCAAACTGGTTGACTCATTTGAAACATCATTTCTGGTTTCGTTGACCTGTATGGCAGTTCTGCTTGAGCCCTGTGAACTCTACCGAGCAACAGGTGGGTCGAACAAGAATCAGCGCTATTGAGCTTGACGGATGAAATCGAAATATTTGTGTTTTTTGAATGAAAAAAGAGAAAATGTAATAGGACCGAACAGGAGCGGTTTGAGCTGGCATGGGTGGGTGTGGGGGCTTGGGGCAGTTATGCTTGAGCAGTTCTGTTCGAGCCCTGCAATAAGTGACCAGGACAAGAATTCATTTGACAGATAAAATTGTATACTGTATCAGTGTTACCATTCATAACAATGATTCACGTTGGTTCTTTGTGTCACTTGAATAAAAATCAGCATAAATACAATGACCTAGCTCAATGTTGTCCCCCCCCCCTCATTGATTGCTGTTGGGTTTGATCTAAACACACAGCGGTTTGGCCTATTAAAAAGACACCCAGTAGGAAGTCAATAGCAAGCCCAGCAGCCGCAACAGAGGCCTGGCTGGTGCAGACCTGCTCTGGTGCCAACAGTGGACTTCATGAATGGAGGCTGCTGGGGCTGCTTGAATGACTTTCACATGCAAGCAGCGGATGAATGGCAGTTCTAAGGAGAAAACAACATGCAGCTAGACGCCCACCCGGACACCACCACTGGTCAGGGAGCTGAATTTGAGCCCCAATCAAACGCTAATATCCTGACTCTTGGAAGACCCACACACCCACTCACTCCCCCGGTGCCTCTTTTATCCCAACTGCTCCCCTTTTGGTTCATCTTTACCCCTAAAAGTGACAGAGTCGCCTCTCCAACATGTCCAAGATGTGGTTCAAACAAACCACTCTCCTCCTCCTCAACATGGAAGCCTTTTTTTTTTTGTCCCACATCACACATGGCACCATGAAAGAAGGATGCTGACACATTTTAGCGGCGCTCACCTCAGTGCGGGACGGGTGTCATGACGACGACGACTGGCGGACACAATGCGGCTTCGAGAGGTCCTCTTATTCGTGCTCGAACGTGCTCATTGGTCACCCGACGTCTTTCCACTCCGCGGGGATACGCTTTCTTCACGGCCCGACGAGCACGTCCTCCATCCTTGCGTGCGTCGCACTGTGAGGCAGCTTGGCTGTGAGTGGCTGACGCTGAATGTCGGTGTCTGCCAGACAAGGTAGCTGGAGGATGACAAAACACTTCCGGTTTGGCGCTTCCAGCGTAAAACTGTCAGTCGCGTCCACTTCGCTTACCTCAAATGACTTTGTCATTAAAAATATTATTTGAATGATATAGATTATTAAGTTTGATTGAGTTAGACTGATCTGTTATAATTCTTTATGAACGTTCTGGTTCTGTATATGACTATGGTTTTATTTTGAAAGTAAAAGCATTTTCAGTGTTTTAGCTAACTTATTCAAAACGTTCTTCCATGAGCAAGTGTATGAGTGTTTTGTTTGTGTGTGGACTTGTGTGCGCGCCTGTCACACATTTATTAAACAACCAATGAGTGCCCGAAAAGGGGAGCCGCGCCCTTTTGTGTGTGTCTGAGCGTAAATTAGGTACTAATTCTTGATATTAACAAATACAAATCCTTCTAATACTTTTTTATACAGTCACACAAATAGAATCGCATACATGAATGCATTATACTATATTAAACTATTCCTTTGCCCATCAAATTTGCAACATCTTGCTTTCAACGACTGTACATTTTTTCCCGATATAAAAGGCTCTTAAAAGTCTTAAAGTACCTTGAAAGGTAAATTTAATTTCTGTTACATTTGACACACTACATAGAAAAGTGTTAACAGCTCTATGAAATTTGACAGATTTAAATAAATAAATGAATACATAAAGAGAGACTTCAAAATCATGAAGTTCTCTTCAGGTGAATGCGCTGAAATCTCACGCCACTCAGCTGACCAAAGTGAAAATCAGTCACACAAAAACAAAGATAGTTGAAACAAATTATTAACACAAATGCAACAAATACCCTAAAATAATAAAAACAAAACAAAGTCTCATCACAGTTCAGTACTATTTATTTCTTGGCGTTTGCACATTCTCAGCACTGTAATGTATTTAAGTATTTCGAAATAAATCTCTGAATTCACAATCCAGCATCTTTAAAGAAAAGTGCATAAAATGGCGTGTTGATGTTTACTTCTGAGTACTTGGCCCAGAGCTTCCAGCATACGCGTGTCTTTATCGCTAATCCCCTCTGAGAGGATTGACTGTGGGCATTTCACGACGGGGAACCCAGGGCCACGTCACAATGACCTGGTCAAGCAGAAGACGGGTTGTGCTGCTGGTGAGCCAACTATTGACTAATACCAGGGCCCTATTTTCATAGATTGGCGTATCTTCATTTTCATGTTAGGCAAAGTCTAGTTTACCGTGTTTGGGAATTTGACAGACCGCGCTATGCCTCACAGGGCGTTCGGCGTACAGAGGGCGTACACTACATGACAATTTGGTGACAGAATGTAGACTAGACTTTAGACCACTTCAAACCAAGACTAAGTTGTGGCGCAGATAGTGTAACGCGATTTTAGTGGATTTGAGCAAGGCGCAGGAAAACAGATTCTGCGCTCCGCTGATATATGGGGTGGATTTCATTCATAACTATGACAACAGCGTGCATCGAACCCACTGAAACATTGATCAATTCAATGAATGCATTATCCTATTTAATGTATATTTTTAAAATACCCCTGACTGTCCATTTTGGAGAAAATCCAAGACCTTCAAGTGCGCCTTTTGCTCGTGAAAATATAGAACTTAGAGCTTGTGTTCTGATTTATATATATTTTTTAAATACACAGAGTGGTTGCCAGAACTTCTGGAATTATTTGTATTTCGTTCATGGAATGCATTATTATCCGATTTAATATATATTTTTAAAGTACCCCTGACTGTGAATTTTGGAGAAAATCTAAGACTTTCAAGTGCACCTTTTGCTCGTGAAAATACAGAACTTAGAGCTTGTGTTCTCATTTATGTTTTTTTTTAAAATACAAACAGTGGTTGCCAGAACTTCTGGAATTATTTGTATTTCAGAGAACACACCTTAGACATAATGAGGTCAAGAACATGACTTTTTACAAGTTGTGAGGGACAATATTCTCTTTTTACCACTGATTGTATGTCACTTCTTGCACACTTGAAATTATATCCCTCAAACATGAAATAAAACAAGAATTAATAGGGTAAAATTGGATGTTTACATTGCACAAAGACGGTATTCTATGTTGGTTTATATATGGTGTTCTGTACTATTTTCTAAATTAAAATAGAAGCTTTTAAAATATAAATATATATGTTCATAGTGTCTGTAACTCTCCAGTGACTTGGCAAAAAACGGAATCTTAAGAGGGCCCCGGGGAATGGAGCGGGGTTGAAACTGAGCTCTACCTGTCTCATGATTATGATCACTACCAGTCAATCAGCATCCAAATATTGCAAATACATAAAAGCATACAGTCTAACCGCGAACCAGATATGATAATTGTGAGGTGGAAAACACTGCTTAATGAAAGCGATAAGTGGGCAGGGCAGGGGGTAATTGCAACGCATACAGTCTAACCGCGAACCAGATATAATAATTGTGAGGTGGAAAACACTGCTGAATGAAAATCACAAAGCGATAAGTGGGCAGGGCAGGGGGTAATTGCAACGTGCCTCTCTCTTGAGACCCTCGCCTCCTATTGATCCTTGCGCACTTCCTGCCGGAGAGGAGACATCGACACGAGTCAAATTCTAGCTTGGAGATTCTCCAAGTGAGGTGCACGTACTATTAGAGGTGCGAAATCACGAGGTAAGTCAAGAGGTAAGAATCATGGGCTACATCTGGTTCAGTTGTATCTAACTTGTAAGTTCAATATTACCATTTCATATTTAAGAATTGTTTTTAAACATTTATGGTTCAATTTTTAGACAACCTCGGTGCACTTCCTTTTATACTGTATTATTCTTATTATTTCAGTGACTTTTTGTCCCCTATATTTAAGTGCAGCGTGAAAGACTCCACTCTGAAAAAGCAACTTTTCTTCACTGAAGTGGCTGCTTTAGAGTGCCTCGTTATTGGCCGTGAGTCCATGCAGATAAAGATGATATGGCAAGGAGAGGGGGATTTTCTTTTCGTTTTTTTTTTTTTTGTATGGCAAGGAGAGGGGGATTTTCTTTTTCGTTTTTTTTTGCTAAGTCTGACTTGAAAGCCAGTTGTGGACATGGGCTACGAGCTGACATGGCCACTTTAGAGTGCCCTATCGTATTACATGGAAAAGCCCCACAGTGACCCGGTGGGATATAATCTCGCCACCGGAGGCTTTAATTCGATATGCCTTCACGGCTCAAACGTGTCCGCAAAAGAAAGATGGTGGCCCAAGTCACACCCATTTTTCCAGCTACAGTCGAACCTCTTTTCAACGTACCCCGTTTACGTTTTCACCCCATAAAGTTCCCATTTCGAAGTCCCGATTTTCATTTTCCATTCGCCAATTTTGCTTACAACGAACATCTTATTAATGTAAACTTCATGTTAATGACCAGATTTTTCCCACAAAACAGTGAAAATGCCTTCATTACAACGAACCGTAGGAAACCAACTACCTTCGAAAATGTCCAAGGCAAACATCAGCATAGTGAGCGATCGCCCGACCGGTGAACACTTTTTCTGGGTGATTCACATTTACGTAAAACTATCGGAACGCCTCATGGCCCGAAGGGGCGAAAGACGAGGACACTGCATTGACACATATCTATATATTTATCTATCTACACACACAGAAACACACGGTAGCGGTCCATCTTAGCCAATGGGATGCCAGGATGACGCTCGGTAGTAACCAAAGGCAGAGCAGCTATAAGTGTGTTGCGTTCAGGAAACACGGAACTGCGAGTAGCAGCCCATACGTATTTTTACCTTTCGTATCTTGAAATTTCTTTCGTAACCAGAGGCAATACTTTCCTGTTGAGGTGTTTCGTAACTTGAAAATTTCGTATGAAGAGATGTTACGTAAGTAGAGGTACCACTGCATTTTGGAAAACTCTGCGGAGCATTAAGCGCGAAGCGGCGGGGGATTACTGTAATATATTTCGTATTATTTATGAATTAATTGTTAGATTCGACAACGGGTGGATTTTTTTCTGAAAGGTGGTAAAATCTGTATTGCACATAAATTGTATCGGTCAAAACATCTCAAAAACGTGATGTTTTTGAAATCATAGACAGAACGTTCAGGGATACATAAAGCCATCTCTGATTACAATTTGCTGTTGACCAATGTTTTCAGATGTTCCTGTACTTTTGGTTCATGAAAGAATCCCTGTCCAAGTACAGTTCAGGTCTATTTAGCTTTTGAGATCAACACAACTGCTTATAAGCAGCCTAACCAAGTGTCTAAATATATACTCGACCATATCTTTGTTGAAGTGAACATGAACGTATCACCGCACGGCCAAATGAAGAGTGCCATCATTATCATGCTATGTTTCACATACATGTTAGCGCTGTTGATTTTCGGGTGGTTTATCTTCATGTTAGGAGTTACAATAATCATTGCTAGCTCACGTTATGTGGTTGCTGACATGTGTATTCAAATAGTATATGCATAGTACATTAGATAACCTTTGTAAGTCCTACAAGGGGGGGAATTTGCAACCAAACGTCTTTCATTGATTCTCTGGTGCCGTATTATGTTGAGTCGTTATGTTGTTGTTGGTGTGACCCTTGTACGGTCAGACTGCATGTACATACTGTACAGTAATAAACCCTTCTGTCTCTCTGTCTCGCTCTCTCTCTCCGTTCTACATTGATCCTCGAATACCCCCATTGATCCTTGGGTGCCTTATTGTTATGTTAGGAGTTGCTGCTAACACCCATGTGTACTCATACATTACAGTATATATGGCACCCTCCCACTCCCTTGCTCTATGATGATGCCCGATGCCTGCAGTGAGGTCACATGAACTTCACTGAGCTCGGCCCAAAACAGCACATCAACACCAGGAACAGTGAAAGGAGGGAGAGCACCTCGCAAGGCAAATCTTACACGTGAGGAACGTGCAGTGAATTGGAATCTAATAATATTTCAAACTGCAACTTGATAACGATGGAGCATCGTTATTGCACTAATATGATTGTCTGGTCATTAATCCCCACCAGGGCCGAATGTTGAGAATATGTATGGACTTGGTAATAAAAAGCCAATTGTTTTTAAGGGTGAGGAGTCTGGGGCGGTATAACCCGCTCTGTATT